TATGTCTATTACTAAAAGGACAAATATTAATTTGCCTTTTTTGAACTTCACTTCATCGTTTAAAGCCAATCTCCAGCTATATTTGTATTCAACTTTTGAATAACGTGGAGAAGGGTTAGAACCTCTTTCAGGTTTTTACTGCTGTTTGTTACTCCATTTGTTTTCTCTGGAATTTGGCTTTAACCATCACATTGTAGACTGGATTTTTAATTATGTCGTCACTCATATTGAACAGAGATCACTGACTACATTATCTCCTCTGATCTCAGCCAATTCCATTATTTCTGATCTAGACAAATTCTTTTATTTGCAAGCCAGAGGCCTATACATTAAATGTTACATTCACTTTTATTAAAGAATAAGTTCACCTTTTCTAACATGTTACATGTTATACCCATATTCCGTGTGTAACATGTAACATGTTAGTGCTGCAGCTGCCCCTGCTGTGACAGAAGACCAGGGATCTTCTCCCCATGTTTGCTGTCACAATTAAAAAATAATTCTGTGAATGAAAAACTACAAGTCCCGTCAGCCTTTGCAGCTGTCAGCTTGTAGTTCTCACTCAACTACCATGGTGCTGTTGATTTCATTCTGTCTTCCTGTCTGTGTATATCTGCCTGCTCATAAGAGGTATGAGCACACAGATATACAGACAGGTCTGCAGGAGTCCTGCACGGAACCCACAATCTGTCGTTCGCGTGTGCAATGCTTTCTAGGCTCCTAGTAAAAAAAATAATAAATACACATTTTTATACCTGCAAAAAGATGTCCATTTATAATTTTTTTTAACAAAGGTGAATTTATCCTTTAAATCAGAGTTCTCCAAAGTATGGCCCGCAGGCCACATCTGGCCCTGTTAGGCCATTTTTTACAGCTCACAGCTAGAGTCCTCAGACTCACTGCAGGGATGGACTCTGTCGACTGTGGAACATGAGTTGCATATTCACCCCCGTCAGCATGCACTGCAACCCCTCTTGGTGTCTCACTGTGTTGGGTGCTAGGACCGCCTGCATCCTAGGAATCAATTAAGTGCTTTATTACAGACCTGCTGCCGCTTCCCAGCTCCCCCCCCCGCCTCACTGTTAACCAGTATCCTTCCTTGCCCTGTACAGTGGTAAGGGGGAACTGTGAGATGTTTACAAGTTTGCAGTGGGTGGGGTGGGTTTAATGGGTCTGAATGGGACACACATGTAGGGGGGTGGAAACACTAACATGTGAGGAGGGGATGATGGCTCTGATAGGGACACAAACGTGGGGGAAGGTCTGATGTCTGTGATGACATAAACATGGGGGGGGGGGGGGCTGATGGGAACATATACATAAGGGGGGCTGATGGCTCTGATAGGGACACAAATATGCAGGTAGCTGATGGCTCTGTTGGGGACAGAAAAATGCATAGGACTGATGGCTCTCATGGGGACACTAACATGTGGAGGTGGGGGCTCTGATGGGGACACAAATATACAGGGGTGCTGATGGCTCTGATGGGGACACAAACATGTGGGGGGCTAGTGGCTCTGATGGGGGCACAAATATGCAGGGGGGCTGATGGCTCTGATGGGGGCACAAACATGTGGGGGGGGCAATGGCTCTGATGTGGACACAAACATGTGGGGGAAGGTCTGATGGCTCTGATGCGGACATAAACCTGTGGGAGGAGGTTGATAGGGACACATACGTTGGGGGGGGGGGGGCTGATGGTTCTGATGGGGACAAAATATGCAGGGAACTGATGGCTCTGATGTGGACTCAAATATTCGAGGGGAGGGGGGTGATGGCTCTGATGTGAGGATTCTGTAGGAGACACAAATGTGTAGGGAGACTCTAATAGGTGATGGGGACACAAACATGTGGAGGGCTCTAATGAGGACACCTATTTGCGGGGATACTCTGATGAGTGATGGGGACACAAATGTGTAGGAAGACTCTGATGGGGACACAGATGTATGGGGAGACTCTGATGGGGACACAGATGTATGGGGAGACTCTGATGGGGACACAGATGTATGGGGAGACTCTGATGGGGGCACAGATGTATGGGGAGACTCTGATGGGGACAAAAATGTATGGGGAGTCTCTGATGGGGACACAAATGTATGGGGAGATTCTGTCGGGGACACAGATGTATGGGTAGACTCTGATGGGGACACAGATGTACGGGGAGACTCTGATGGGGACACAGATGTATGGGGAGACTCTGATGGGGACACAGATGTATGGGGAGACTCTGATGGGGACACAGATGTATGGGGAGACTCTGATGGGGACACAGATGTATGGGGAGACTCTGATGGGGACAAAAATGTATGGGGAGTCTCTGATGGGGACACAAATGTATGGGGAGATTCTGTCGGGGACACAGATGTATGGGTAGACTCTGATGGGGACACAGATGTACGGGGAGACTCTGACGGGGACACAGATATAAAGCCCCATGCACACAAGAAGTTTAGCCCCACTGCATGATGCTCCAGCCTTTAGGTGCCAGCAAAGGATACAGGAGCACCATCTAGCCCTGCTGTCAGCAGTCTGTCAAATTCTATTCTTCTACTGTGGATTTGATTATAAATTATTTTTCCGGCCCGCAAATATGTGTAAAATATACAATGTGGTCCCCGAAGTAAAAAGTTTGGAGACCCCTGCTTTAAATATAAGGAGAGTTACCAGCAACAGTTGTCATATGTGTAAAAGAGCTGGACAAAAAAACGGACAGTTTTATAACCTACTGTATTGTATGACTGGATATCTTGAAGACACTGGGGGTTCAGCTGATAGTGTGTGCTATTGAGTATCTGCATCCAAGTATACATTATGTAGTATTGCATCCTTTAAAATACAGTATATATATCATTTACAGTGTGTACATGATTATACAAAATGTTTTCTTAGTTGTTAAAACTGAGATGGAGATTTTTTTCCCTGCACATGGTGGTTATCACATCCCACTGACACCGTTCACTTTTTCTGTGAATGAAGCAAACATCTTACAGCTTCCCAGAAACCGTGCAACACATTTGGAATGACTTACTTGACTCATTGGATTAATAATTACAACATGCAATAGCTGACTTGCAATGCCCTCTGTTGGCAGAAATGTACTGTTATCAGCAAGCTAATGCAATACACGTTACCTAGACATGTGATTTATAAACGTTTAACCAGAGTTTACAAAGCTGTGATGGTTTTAATTGATCAAAGTAAATCGAGTGTGGCCAATGGCTCTAAAAACATGAGAACAATTTTAAATGTAGGGTTTACCAATAATGCCTAATTACATATTCTGTATGCGTGTATATACTGTATATATATATACAGTGAAGGAAATAAGTATTTGATCCCCTGCTGATTTTGAATATTTGCCCACTCACAAAGAAATGATCAGTCTAAAAATCGAATGGTAGGTGTATTGTAACACTAAGAGACAGAATAGCAACAAAAAAATCAAAAGAAATGCATGTCTAACAAATTATGCACCGATTTGCATGTTCATGAGGGAAATAAGTATTTGATCCCCTTCACATGACTTAGTACTTGGTGGCAAATTCCTTGTTGGCAATCACAGAGGTCAGACATTTCCTGTAGTTGGCCACCAGGTTTGCACACATCTCAGGAGGAATTTTGGCCCACTCCTCTTGGCAGATCCTCTCCAAGTCATTAAGGATTGGTGGCTGACGTTTGGCAACTCGAACTTTCAGCTCCCTCCACAGATTTTCAATTGGATTAGGGTCTGAAGACTGGCTAGGCCACTCCAGGACCTTAATGTGCTTCTCTTTGAGCCACTCCTTTGTTGCCTTGGCCGTGTGTTTTGGGTCATTGTCATGCTGGAACACCCATCCACGACCCATTTTCAATGTCCTGGCTGAGGGAAGAAGGCTCTCACCCAAGATTTGACGGTACATTGCTCTGTCCATCGTCCGTTTTGATGCGGTGCAGTTGTATTGTCCCCTTAGCAGAAAAACACAGCCAAAGCAGAATGTTTCCACCGCCATGTTTGACAGTTGGGATGGTGTTCTTGGGGTCATAGGCAGCATTCCTCCTCCTTCAAACACGGCGAGTTGAGTTGATGCCAAAGAGCTCCATTTTGGTCTCATCTGACCACAACACTTTTAACCAGTCCTCCTCTGCATCATTCAGATGTTCAGTGGCAAACTTCAGACGGGCCTGGACATGTGCTTTCTTGAGCAGAGGGACCTTGCAGACACTGCAGGATTTCAATCCTTGTCGGCGTAGTGTGTTACCAATTGTTCTCTTGATGACTGTGGTCCCAGCTGCTTGGAGATCATTGACAAGATCCTCACGTGTAGTTCTGGGATGATTCCTCACTGTTCTCATGATCATTGACACTCCATGAGGTGAGATCTTGCATGGTGCACCAGACCTAGGGAGACTGACAGTTGTTTTGTGTTTCTTCCATTTGCAAATGATTGCACCAACTGTTGTCACCTTCTCACCAAGCTGCTTGCTGATAGTTTGGTAGCTCAGTCCAGCCTTGTGTAGGTCTACGATCTTGTCCCTGACATCCTTGGACAGCTCTTTGGTCTTTGCCATGGTGGAAAGTTTGGAATCTGATTGTTTGATTGCTCCTGTGGAAAGGTGTCTTTTATACAGGTAACAAAATGAGATTAGCAGCACTCCCTTTAAGAGACTGCTTCTAATCTCAGCTTGTTACCTGTATGAGAGACACCTGGTAGCCAGAAATCCTGCTGAATGATAGGGGATCAAATACTTATTTCCCTCATGAACATGCAAGTCAGTGCATAATATGTTAGACATACATTTCTTTAGAATTTTTTGTTTATATTCTGTCTCTCAGTGTTACAATACACCTATCATTCGATTTTTAGACTGATCATTTCTTTGTGAGTGGGCAAACATTCAAAATCAGCAGGGGATCAAATACATATTATCTTCACTATATATATATATATATATATATATATATATATATATATATATAAACACAAACTAAATTAATCAAATAAATAAAATTGTCAAATTACCTGTTCAGCATTGCCAAGTTTTAAATGGGCAGCTGCTTCATCTTTTGTTAAAAGGATACAGTTCCATGGAGACCACTCATAGTATTTGTCCCACCTAACCATGACCAGATCATAAAGGTCATCACAGGCACTGAGAACAGACTGGGCTGCCCAGATATTCTCAACCAGATATTGGAGGTCTTCTTGCTGCAAATAAAATAGTTTTAGCACAATAATAGAAATAGGCTCTAAAGGAGTTTTGCACATTTTTACAGCAGCCCTGAAAAACAAATAAATAATAAATGGAGTTGATATACTAAAGGCAAATAGACAGTACACTTTTCAAGTGCAGGTGCTTCAGAGTTTAGTAATTGAGAGGAAGCTCTTCTGACTTCCATTATCCAATCGTGCAAGCAAAAATGCTGGTTTTTTTATGATCCTTGCAGAAGATTAGGTATTTTTTGCAAAGTGAAGCTTCATCTCATTTAGTAAGCTCTGGAACAATTGCACTTGCAAAATACACAGTTTATTTGCCTTTATTTGCCAATGTGTGGACATATACAACACAAACATTTCCCAACACGTACCAGCTAGCTAGCAAAAAAAATTGTTTCAGGCTAAGTGTTAGAGGAGATTAAATGTTAAGGGTTGACTAGGGTTGGGGTAAACAATTAAACGGTAGTAAACCCAAAATGTAATATATTGCGGCTTACCAATCATTAGATGTGGTAACAGCTTTAGTTCTCTTTTTTAGTCTTTTTGTTTCTGTTTTTACCTGGTTTTCTGGCCAGTAACATACCTCCTGTATGACAGTACCTTTACTCTGGATGAAGGAGTATAGGAACACCCTTAGACAACAGCATTTTTCAGTCTTGGGGGAGAGGAGTGTTAGATTTACTAGTAGATTTACATACACTAACAAACAAGCCAAACTAACACTTATTAAGCAGTTGCAGCAACAGGTTTTTTCCTTTTGAGATGCACATTTTACATATATGAAATTAATGTATTAACCCTTTTAACGGCCACATCTCCAAACCAGCTAGTTCTATTAAAAATCAACCGATTTAAAGGCAGGATCACCAGGTGAAAATAAGGGAAAGAAGAAAACAATGCAGTCATCACATCTAAGAATTCGAAAACTGCAATAAAATAAATGCTTTTGGGTTTAATACCTCTTTCAGTGTTAAAACTATACTACTCCAAGAGAATGACATTATCTCATGACATCAGAGCACATATAAGTGCAGCCCTGACTATAAAAGCATTCAAAAACTTCCCACAAATTTCATAAGGATACATCTATATGCACAATAACTAATTAAAAGTTATAACATGACATGACATAACTGAAGCACACTGGACATCAAACCATGTAAAAACAAACACACAAGAACAGCATGAAATGTAATATAAAAACAAATAAGTGAATAAAATAATTTGCTAAAGGGTTAACAAAATGCTCCCGAGCTAGTGTATACTGTGTAGGAGAGGTTTCCTTCTCCTATAAAATAACACGACGTCTAGACATTGGCCATGCCCCTGACAACATCGCTGATGACAAAACGCATTGGATGGAGCCAGAGTGTCACGTACCTGGTTGGGGAGCCTGAAGTGGAGAGAGGGCGCCCTCTTGCAGCCCCCGTTTGGAACCCCTGAAAGTGGGAACAGGGGCACAGAACCAGGAGGGGCAGGAGTGCTGTGAAGGTCTTGCAGCTGTCAGCAGGTAGCTGGGGACACAGGAGATCCGGACACAAGCTAGGTGCGGGTGCAGGGACGTAGGTGCAGCAGCAAGCAGGTGTGGCGGCAGTCAGGGTGCGGGTCTTGGGACCGAGCACCAATGCGTGGATGCGGTGGCTGATGGGTAGGACGGTGGTCCAGATGTAGGCCAGATGCCGAGCCGTGGGTGCAGCGGTAGGTGGATATGGTAGCTGACAAGATGCAGGTCAGGTGCAGGTGCAGGCAAAGTAATAATGCAGAGTGAGGCAGGCCAGGTCGGTAACAAGCGGGCAGATAAGTACAAGAGGAGCAGACAGGAGAATGGTCAGGGATAGGTCGGTGCAGGCGGAGTTCTTTCTTAGGCGGGTATACAGAATGCAGGAATCAGGATCAGAATCAGGAAATGTGTGCAGGAATGTATTTAGACCAGAAGGCAATGATTTCCATCTGAAGCAGGTTCAAATAGCCCGCCAGACGTGACGTGTGTGCTACTGCACATGAGCGAGCCTTCGGCGCTACCGTGCATGCACGGCCACATGCTCTTGCGCCTGCACACTCGCACCGCCGCGATTCGAGGGGATCCGTCGCACTGCTGTACGGCGACGGGATCCCTGACACAGAGCGTGTGACGTCATTGCGCACTGGAACGTGGCGGCCATCTTAATGGTTGGAAACAAGTTGTTTTTTGGATATGGTGACATGCTGTTTTAACTATTATATGAAGTACGTGTATTACTGCATTTGAGGCATTAAAAACTAAAAAATTACTGAACTATGAGGATTTCCTTTTCCTTTTTTAACTGGATTATCCTGTACGAGGATAATACTTACTTAGGTCTATCCATAAATTTTGTATTGAAGACCAAGACCCTTAAGGTTTGTATACAAGTTCATTGTTCGCTTCCAGGAAGCACACAGCGCATATTGACCTTTCTTTTTGGGGGTCAATATTATCTTTTTCCTCTTGGTGGTTTTTTGGGAACCTGTCGGATATCTGTTGGGTCTTGATTGATGAACTTTTTTCACATACAAAAAACTTTAGATTGGACTTTTTGTTATATTAAGAATGTTTTAAAGAGTTTGATTTAGAACTGCGCTTTCTCTATATATACTTTGTAATGATATAAGTGCTCTGGGAACCTTACTAATGTATATCAAAACACCCATCTATATACCAATATATCCTCTATATGACAAAGTGTTAAGTACTAGTAAATAAGTCTATGGCATAAAATATGGAGCTAATCCATAAGTGGTCCACATGTATTGTGGCCACCATATCCTCACGAGCAGGTTCAATTACTGCATTCAAAGTTTAAAAAAAGGATTGTTGCACTTAGCTTAATTTTCTCCTTTCAAAAGTCATTGAGGGATGCAGCTTGATGATAAGGTATTTGTATACCTAAACGTATATTTATATAAAGCCAAAATCTTTTTTTTTCCTCTATTGTCCACTGAGGGACACAGCTTAGTGATAATTAAGCAACCTACAGTTATACTGCTGCCTACAGAAGAAACTAACACTAGGCACATAGAAAACTGAAGACCAATCCCCTTGTGGATATAACCCTTCCCACCTCACATCTGCTCAGTTGTAGTATGCAGTCTAAGAGAGAATGATAGCATATGAGGGGAGCAAGCTGTTGCTCTCATTGGGCAAGAAACAAAAAAACAACCCAAGGGCATTAAAGAGTCCATTGCTTAAGCTTGTGACCAAAACTAGCATCTGCGTGGCAGATGCATCGACCTTGTTGAACTTAGAGGAAGAATGTACATAAGTGCAGGTCACAGTGCTGCAAATCTGAGATACAGAGACCTAGGCGGTATAATCCTAGGTTAATTGTCATCAAGCTGTAACCCTCAATACAAGACAATGAAAAAGGCTTTGGCTTTGTACACACTTTAAGTATCTTTTAAGTTAAGGTATACAAATACATTGACAACTGAAAAGGTATAGTACAGTACAAATATTACAATTATTTATGTTATTAAATATATCCACAAAAACAACCAACCTTAGTTTGATGAACACACTTACCTGGAGCACAAATGCTATTTTAGCATCATCACCATAGTTTATTTCTGATTTTTTCAGTTGTTTCAGTAAAAGTCTATATTTTGAAAATTCTTCTCTTTGTCGAGCTTCATTGTCTAGTTTTGAACATTTTCTACACCTGCCAATACTGTGAGCATTGGCAGATAGAGAAAACTCAGTTGATGGTAGGTAGCTTTTGCAGCTATTACAGAAATATATATTTTTGCGAAGAACAGCGGGATCTTGAGGAACCTGTAGATAAACATTGTAATTAGTTCAGTATCATACAACCAGAGGTGAAATGATCATCATAGCTTACCATAACAATAGCCAGACAATTGTGTTTAGGACTGAATTCTCACCAACATTCCTGTGCTTTTCTGGCATCTCTAAGAGTACAGCAAGGTAATGCTAAAACAACTCCATGCACAGATCCCACCACTTATCATTGATCCACACAAACATTTATTAGATAATTTAATGTTATTTACTGCAGGGTATAAAGGCAGCTGTAGTAAGTACACATATAGAGCCTACATATACCTTTGTATGACTTTATAAAGTTTTGACAGTTGCTGTAGGTTTCGTGAGATGGCCAGCCTCTCATATGTTCCTATTAGCCAGTAATGCCTTGGGAATCATTCCCATCCAATAGTACACAGCAACAGCCCTCAAGAAGGGGGAGTCTTTTCCCCCAAAACACATTGACTTGATGTACATGTCGCTACTTTTTATTAAACAGCTATGAGCCATACTTTAGCAATTGCAATTTCCTGGACACTGGACGCTCCTTCCTTTTTATCCAAGTCTACATGCTGAAACAACCGTAAGGTCTCACTGAAAAGGTAGCATCCCAATCTCCAAGAGGGTCCATCACCCCCGTACATCATTGGGCATTATCCAGGAAGGGATTCCTATCTTTTTGCCCACACAAATACCCACCCAGGACCAGTGACTAATCCAGTCAGTCCAGCGCGAAATCCAACACAAGCTATTAGTCAGTAAGGCCACCCACTGTAGTGATAACCCAGTAAGAACATGTGTAAAATTGAGAGTGTTTACCAGTTTACAAGATGACAGTGCTGGTATGTTACAGCTGCCTGGGTTTTGGGAGCTGAAAGTGTCATCTAGGTATCGCTAGGTGACTGCTTTTAATTGCAACAGCCTATTTGGCACCTTTATGATACAGATGAGTTTATTTAAAGTGACACTAAACTCTGGTTTAAAAAAAATCTTTTAAGTAAGAGTTCTCAACTTAAAGTGGAACTTTAGGTAAAAAAAAAAAAGGCTAAAAGGCAGGAATCTTAATTCAGAAGAGACATGCTTTGTCTCTTCTGCATTAAAGTTACTTACCTGCCTGTCCGCCTCTGTACAGTGAGCTGTGCATAGGCAGCTCACTATATAAATTCAGCAATGCTGAATATGAGTGCACACCCGTGCATGCATGGGAGTGACTTCATCCTCGCCTGGCCAATGGCAGCAGCCGGCGATCAGGACCTGAAAGCTGGCCACCCAAAGAAGTGAGTGGCCGGGCGGGCGGGGAGCCGCATCACTGAAGACAAGGTGAGTACAGTTCCGCTTTGACAAAGTACCATCTATGGTCCTCAGCCTCCTCCAATCTCCAAATTCCTTTCTTTGACCTTTGGCTGTGACCTGACTCCCTGTTAGAGGGTGGCCACATTCATTCTCCACGGTTCCACTGTGTGTACAAATGTAGCCATGCTCTCTTTTCACAAGACTGAATGCTATAATGACAGATTTGCTTTAAAGAAAATCATCAAGTCATTACCTTGAGTAATCTGGCAACTTCTGGGTTAAATGTGGGAATTTTAATGTACTGTAGGAAAAGTGTCGATATTCTCTTCCGAAGTCCTTCCAAGTTGTGCTCTTGTACACCACGAAATAAAAGGTCAGCCTCTCTGTCAATTAGCTCTACAATTTCTTGGGTTAACTTGCAATTGTGTTCCTATGAAAAGTAAATGAAAACTACATTAAATATTATATATATATATATATATATATATATATATTTTAATATGTATTTATTTCTGGGCCAGACAATAAAAAGTAATATAATAATTTCAAAAACAGGCAGATGCAATGACTTCATGATTCAGAAACAGGCAGATATTTTATTTAATAGGGTCCAAAAAGACCTCATTTGAAAAATAATCAGATCAGCCCATGTATTACTAGTTTCAGAATAATGAAGCACTGACGTAGTTCACTGCAAGCAATTTACCAAGATTTTATGTTCCTAAAAAAAACACTTGAAATATTACTTTTGGTTTTACATGTTCACTGAGGTGTTTGTCTAGTGACTTTCCCTATTATATCTTTATACAGAGTAAAATATGGCAATCCAATTACTGCCACTGCATCAGAAAAAAAAACATTTAAAAATCAGAACTTCATAAGAATAAAAATATTCAAGAAATTAGGTAACTGTTAAATCAGAAAGAAGATGTCCTCTACTTTGGAAAAAAGTTGCCTGCTATAGAATGGTGTTTGTAAAAAAAGGTATAGCATGTGGATAGATACACTAAAATTAATTTCGACTTTAGTACATTGTCTTAGACCGAATTGGTTTCAAAATGTCCTGCCTACTGAACTGGAACTGATGCCCATGACAACAAATATTACATTGGCAATAAAGGCTGGCAGTTACAATTTATTGGCCAGGTTTGTGACGTACCTTGGTTAGCTACATTTTAGCCATTCATACATTATACGTAACTCCTGTCTAAGCTTTTTTTTTAACTAGACATTTGTATCTCTTAATATTAGATTAATAATTAATGATATCCACAAAAAATGAACTGTAAAATATTAATAGTGTTACAAAACACCTATTCACACAACTGATTTTTAAAAAGAAAAATAAATTACCTTGACGGTATGCTTAAGCGTCAAGAGTGCATCAATCCTTTCATCACGATTGAAGTATTGGGTGTTAATGCTGTTATATATGTCACGTAGCTCTCTGGCACGGATTGTAAAACTGGGTATCCATCTCTGTAACTTTTCCATCAAACGCTTTCCATTTTTTGGGTTCACAACACTTTAAATGAGGAATGTGATTTTAGATACATCAATGTTTACATAAATATACAGCAAATGCAAACTAAGAGAAGTGTATGACAATACTTAAAGCTGAATTTTGGGGTCAGTGAAAACATTGCTTGAAATGATAGCAGCCCGGAACAGACGGTGTCCAAAGTGTTGTTTGTGAAAGCAGCCTATGTGGTGAGGAAAATAACTTAGTGTCCTCTAATGGCCCTTTTTGTGCAGAAGCATTAAGAGGTGGACACAAGTCTATTAAATTCACTTTTCTTGCACCTTTTAGGTCTACCTGCTGACTTTCCCACTCTGAGTCACATGACCAGCAGGTATGACAGCAGCTATAGTCTATGCAAGCCTCCACTGCTGCAACTTGTGCACCAAGGAATAATAGGACATAGTTTAACAATCAAAAGTAGATATTTAAAAATACATTTTCTTTAAATAATAATTTCATATTCAACATAAACAACATTAAGCTATTCCCTAATAATTGTATTGTGAGTCTGGAGTTCAGCTTTAACAATTCACATTTTCTGTATCAAAGCATAATAAAGAAAATAACCAAACTCAATTGTCTGCCTAAAGATAATGTGTTGAGATGGTAATCTTTGTTTTTAGAAAAGAAAATATTTTAAGAAAATATTTAATAAAGAAAATAACCAAATAATATTTTCTGACTGTTAGATACAGTTTTCAGTATTCCAACTATACATATATATATATATATATATATATATATATATATATATATATATATATAGTCAGAATATTGAAAACTATATCTTCAGGCAGAAAATATAATTTGGTTATTTTCTTTATTAAATATTTTCTTTATTATTCTAAAGACAAAGATTACCATCACAACCCAATCTTCTCGTAAAATGTAGCTTTGTGAGAAAACATTTTGAAAGTAATGCTTTCATATTTCGGATAATCACTCCTTAGGCATCAACATTGCAGGTCATCATTTCAGCCAGGAGACCAAAAACAAGACACTCTCATGCTGTTGTTATTGTACATTTTTAATCATCATTCAAATAAAATAAAAAAAAGAAATTAAAGACTTCTAAAATAAAGCTAAGCACACGTAACTTTAAAATACAGCAAGCAGCAAGAAAAGTTCATATATAGTAAATATAAGCACACACAACTTTAAAATATAGAAAGCCCCTAGGAAGGTCCATGTATAGTAAATAAAAGCACACATTACTTTAAAATACAGCAAGCCCCAAGGAAGGTCTGTGTATAGTAATAAAAGCACACATAACTTTAAAATACAGCATGCCCTAAGGAAGATCTAATTACAGCCACCATCAATTTTTACGTAACAGACACGTTTATTCAACTGTATTAACCAGTAACTGCAAATTACAGTCCAAAGTAAGCTCTGGTATCCTTTGAATACAAAGAGGAGTCAAAGTGCAATGTGATGTGCAATAACTCTGGATAATTCTGGTTTTCCTCATCAACTGGAAAGGGTTGGCACAATAAAAGCTCTCACATGTCATTTTCTTTTTGCTTACAAGGCAGTATACAATTAGCATGGAATAAAATAGACTCTTTGAACAAAAAGAAATGAGTGGTCTTCCACAGTACTTCGGGTGCACTGACTACTTTTCTCCTGGAATCAATCCAGCTCTTAAAAAAGATAAGTAAATACCCAGAAACTTTATTTAAAGTGCACATACAGTACAGTATATGTTTGGAGACTAAGAAAGCAACATTATATCATATCAATATAGTATTGTTTAAACTGAAAGGAAATCTGTATTCCCATAAATATGTAGGTGGACATTGCTGATTTCTCCTTCTAAAAATACTGGTCTCCTAGTTGTCTTGTTGGATCTAATGGCCTTGATATTTTCTTAATCACTGACCTGGAACAAGCATGCAAATCAGAAGTTTTTACTTCTGATTTGCATGCTTCTGATTTGATGCTTCTCCCACTTCTGATTTGCATGGGAGTGATTTAGAAAGCAAGGTAATTAGCATGTCCAGATGGAGGCTTTTGTTCTGAGATGACATTATTCTGGAAATGTAATATGGGTAGTAACAAACAATTTATTTATTTCAGGTACTTATATAGTGCTGTCAATTTTACGCAGCGCTTTACATATATATTGTACATTCACATCAGTCCCTAACCCTCAAGGGGCATACAATCTAAGGTCCCTAACTCACATTCATACATACACATACCAGGGCCAATTTAGACCGGAACCAATTCACCTACCAGCATGTCTTTGGAGTGTGGGAGGAAACCGGAGTACCTGGAGGAAACCCAATGCAGGCACAAGGAGAACATGCAAACTCCAGGCAGGTGGTGCCGTGGTGGGGATTCGAGCCAACTACCCTAGTACTGCCAGGCGGAAGTGCTAACCATTTAGCCACTGTGCTGCCCAATTGAGTAGGATCTACTCTGCTCTCTAGGCTGTATGATGACATTGTTCTGGGTGTACAACAGTTCTATTCTGCTTTTATAAAGACAAGGTTCTGGTTTTGCAGCGGCATAGCTTTGACCCTTGGAGTCACGATTCTTGGCATAAATCAACCCTGTTCGGGCTTTAGGATGGTAGGATCTGGTCACTTTCCTGACCTTAATATGTCTTTGGTAGAACAGCACTGAAGAAAAGTACACCATTTTTTCTAATATAAAAAAACTGCATTAATCTCTTTCATAACAGTTTAAGTAAAAAACAGACCTCAACAAATACAGTTCTTCACTTCACTGTTTGGACTGGGCAGCATTTTGGTCTTCATGATGGCAAAAGGAAACACACTTGCCTTTTAACTACCACATATGTGCCCAGAGTCCCTAAGAAGATAACAGAATAACCATCGACTTGTAGATATATGTCATAATTTCCAATGGATGTTGTGCTCGAATGAGTATGAGTGAACAGGAGGTCATTTTCCCTGCCATGTAGACCAGGATACTGGCAGCTCTGGTAGAGAGGAGCCACATGTTTATATTCTGATTTTTACTTATGTCGAGGAGGGGTAGCAGTGGCTGTGGAGGATGTATTTATGCTTTATTTTGAAAAAGTGCACCTATTGTTTAATATTTATTGCAATGCCAAGTCTGTATAAATTTAAGTGACCTTTAAATATTTAATTCTTATACATTGAGAGTTAATTATCCTAATAAAATTTGTTCTTAGTTCCTTCAACTTACTTTGGACTTGTGGTTTATATATTAATTTTATTAGGAGTCTTTTATATAAAGTTTTTTTTATTATTTAGTGTTTACTGTCTCTCTAGGAGAGTAATCAAAATATGTATATACAGTATATCAGCCTTTTTCAATCAGGTTGCCTTCAGGTTTCTCCAGGTGTGCCTTGGCAAAATGCCTAAAAATTGTATACTAGCCAGCAGGTGGATCAAGCCTGCATTTTAATTATACAAAGCCACAGGTTTTCATTGTGCACCAATATAACTTTTTAGCTGCTTGTGTCCTAACAACCAAAGACGTCATTGGTTGATAAGGAGGACGTTGGTCACAGCATCCTTGTTTGCCCCTTCCTTGCCCCTCTCCATTAGCACTGAGGTCACATTAGCTGAGTGAGGGAGAGAAACTGAGGAAAAAGAGAAACACTGGAATACTAGTCAGTACCAGTGTGCAAAGGCGAGTTTGCTTTGCAACCTCTAACACTTGATGTCCTACGTGTGTGAATATTGCTGTTATGTAAAATGATTAGTTTCGTTTTTACATTTTGGAATGGGGTGCCTTGAGATTGTGCAGAATTTTAAAGGGTGCCTTGGCTAAAAAAAAGGTTGAGAAACACTTCAGTATATTATAGCGTATATATCAATACAACAACACCATTTTAAATCAGAAATTGGAACTAAAACTTTCTATCTTCTGAAGATGGGGCCATCTAAAACTGGCCATACATTATACAATACACAGTAGATGTATAGAGAATTTTGGGCACACTGGATAAAAATGTCAAGGGACAGGGATAGTAAGCACTAGGATCATTGATTCAGATTTCAACGACACTACTTGCATAAAGTTTGCATATTCTTCCTGTGTTTGCTAGATGTTTCCTCTGGGTACTCTGGCTTACTCTCAAATGGCAAAGACATGCTGGTAATGTAGGTCTAAATTGGCTCTTGTATGTGTATGTATGTATGTATGTGAGATACGGACATTAGATAGTAAGCTATTGAGGGCAGGGATTGATGTGAATGTACAATATATATATATATATATACACACACACATACAGTATCTGTATACTGTATACATGTTTTGGCTTATACATGGGGACAGGAAACCAAAGACAGACAAGTACAGTAAAACACTATGGTAGAAAAAGAATAAAATGCTTTCATGAAACGTAAAAGCAGCAGGGAGCCAGTGCAGCAACTGTTGGGGGGCAGTAGTGTGAGTAAAGCAGCTGGCAAAGCAAATCTGTCAGATACATTTATGACAGAATGAAGTTATGCCAGAAAAGTAAATCTGAAACCTAGTGTGGAGAATTACAATTCATAATTTCATATTTTAATTTACAAGGTGAGGCTGGATGAGAAAAACAGCCCAACGTATGATTCAGAGAGAAACCTTATTACAGTTTATCAGAACACCTTATTATAAGCACTAGTAGTTAAGCACTGTAATCTAGCCAAGAAGATGATCATAAGCAAATATGAAACCAAATAACAGCCTTAAAGCATACTTACAAAAGACAAACCAGGAATTCCAGTACTACAGATTACAGTGAACTGAGCAAATAGTTTCCAAGAGCTCTTGAGAACACAAATAAAATTATACAATGGCCTAGCTTCACGTTCACAAATTGGCTTGGGGCAAAAAACATGCTGCAATGAAGTTTTTAGTATCTCTCAAAAAGAAAATGTTATGTCTGCTGTACTAGCAAAACTCCATCTTACTGTATGTGTTAAATAATTTACACATTTAAAAATGCTTTAATTTTTTACTTATTATGTACCTTACAAGGTAGTAACATATGTGCAATGGTGCTGTGTAAACAATATGCCGTTTAGATGAAGTGAGAGTTAGTTGTTATTTTCCTACCTTACTTACTGTTTATTACCTAAATACACATGCCTTTAACATTCAGGAAACATAAAAAGGTGGGTACAGCAGTATTATTCATAGTAGTCCTAATGATGAAAAACGGTACTCAGTTGTCTTGTATTATGGACCCTATAATTTTTTTTGTGAGATAGGAAATTAAATAATAGTAACTGGCTAGTTACTCCTAGACAACAGCCCTACTTCCTTTAGCATCACAGATGCCTTGGGTTTAGCAACAGTTCTAATTCAGCAAGTCACTCCATCTAGTAAAGTGACTTACTCTGTTCTGTGTTGGCCTTGCCGAGTGAAGGGATATCCAGGCTCAAATACTACCTGCATAGTTTAACAGATCACTTACCACGGATCACCATGTTAAGAAAGCATTCCCCATTTACCACCACCATTAAGTGTTCACTCACCACTGACCACAAACATTAAGGGGAGCACTCAGCACTAGCCACCAACCATAGGGGTCAGTCACCACTGACTACTGTTTAAGAGGACATTTACAACTGGCCAACACCACAGACCATCAAAGTATAAAAGGGCACTGACAACCACCATAAAAGAGTGTTAACTCCTGACTGCTGCACTCTGCAAGCCTGGTCAGGAAGGGGGGTAAATCCTCCAGAGGGCAAGTGGTTAAGAAATATTTTTCGGGTACAAGACTGCAGTATTTGTTTGCAGTATATACAGCAAGTAGGCTCAGGTTCTGTTCGTTATCTTTAGGCCGCTCACACTGTTGGGTGCAATCTGGCTATGCCCATTGTTCACTGGTGACTTCATCTCCTCAATATGCCCCAGGGCCTCTACAATCCTAGAAATGCCTCTGCCTATTTACGTTTCCTCCATATTGATGGTCCAGCCCTTCCCAATTGTGCAGAAAATAATCACAAGTAGCACACAACAGACTGATGAACTGTATAGCTCTTATGTGTGAGGATGACGCTTACCTTGTTTAGGAGAGACTGTATAGCTTTATTCTGGGTCTCCTCTCCAGCATCTATTTTGTGTCTGCCAATAGAAGAGATCAGCTGGGTCTCCTGTTCCAGTAGTGCACAGAGAGCCGCTTTCCTTTCAGCACCGGTATATTGTTGGTTAATACGCTCCACTTCTTCCTTTCTCCATACTACAAACAACATGGAATTAAACACAATGAAACTGAAGAAAATTATAATATATACAATTGCAACCAAGAAGGAGAAGAAGCCAGAGAGCTCTGAGCATGTAGCCTGCCCGCACATACACCAGTCCTCATCCGCTGACACAATTTCCGCCAAGCAGATGCGTTCAACGCTGGTTCCTTCACTTCCAGCCTGCATTCTGATGCCATGACTGCGTTCCTCACCATCCGTGGAAGCGGGACTCCATCCCTTGACTGTTGGGCTGTACAGAATCTGTGCACTTCTAATGGCAAGTTATCTTATATCTACTCTCTTGTGAGTGTTACTTACTTTTGCTGAATAAACCGTACACTAATACTACACTTAGTGGTGCCTCCCTTGTTCTATCTGACAATTGCAACCATTAAATACCATGAGAAAATTTTAATATATTCATCAGAACTCACCTTAGAAAACAGTGTCACTGGCCAATCGGATGTCACAGAAATAACAACTGGTATGTATAAGAAATACTCATTTACAACAAAAATTAAGCAACTGTGATAAAACTTACACAAACTGATAATGAGCTATAACCTTGCTAAGTGCATTGTTTTCTGAAGTCCATAATAGTTATATGGTACAACTGCATGTTTTTGTTTATGAAGTAAAAATTGAGAACAAAAAGCACTTTAGAATGTTCCAATTTGTACCTCGTCCTATGTTTTTAAATGCCCCTGGGTGTATTTCTTGCTTTCCAGACTTGCTTACATTTCTAGAAGCCTTTTCTCTTGGCTGTACATATATCTTTGTTTTTAAGGTCAAGTTTTTCAATTATTCACTATAAAAATCCTAAAGCAGGAAAACATGGCCTTTAGAAAGCAGAAAGCTAGGTTGACGATAAATGTCACTATTACATTATTATTACAAAAGATGGCCTTAGTGAGGTGCCTTGACATATTTTGAATCTATTTCCAGAAAACCGCCTGATATGGAATGCATCATCGTATTTTGTGCATACAAAGCTGATTAATTGTCACATTGAAATAAAGACATATGACCATTTGTAAGGCTTTAGTATACAAAATATACTTCTTTTCAGAAATACAATCAAGACACTCTGCAGTTCTGGCATATGTCTATTCATGAAGGACAGACTGTTCACCTATGTTGTAAATACAGACTGACATGCTCTCACAGTGCTCAGCATTGTTGTACATGAAAGAAGTAGGGATCAGCAAATCTAGGGGGAAAAGATTATATCTAAGATCCATTTTAAACCCACTGCTGGAAATCCTGTCTTCATTCTCATAGTTGCCATCACCCCAAATGGAAAAGCAATACACCAAGTTAGTCAGTTTTGTTGTCTCCGGAAAAATTGTATTTTGGGTGAGGACTAAGTATCTTAAAGTCAAGTCCTCATAGCAAAGTTCCTGGACAAAGGCTATACTCCGGAGATGGAAGATGAAGCATACCAGGCATATCTTATACCACTACCAAGATATATAGACATGGGAGAAGTTCCTTTTCCAGATATTATATTCATTCAATTTTATTATTATTATTTACACATGGAGGATATTATCAAAAACCAATGGTCCACTAGAAAAACCCAAACCTGGCCTGGTCTCACCATCTAGGCCTAGATTCATATAATGGAAGACTCCCATTATAAAAATCAAAATAGCTCTCAGTAAGTTGAAATGCAGTACCTCTAAACTTCAATTTAAAGACCTATACAACTTCTTTGGTAATCTTGTAGGGACTTACCAATGCAGAAAAGAATACTTCATGTGAAAATATATTCTACATGGGCAGAATACATTCTTAGGCAAAATGGCAAATTATATCATATATCTCCGTTATATAATTGTTGTATAGATTTTGTTTTTGTTGCCTTTGGTGCCCTTTGGGTTTATTACAGGTTGGGTGTACCATCAGGGTCCTTAGAAGCAGTTGTGTGGAGCGCCACAGATTCATTGAACATGGGAACTTCAAACAGTGTCCTGGATATTTTGCAAAGAAAAATAATAAATCTACAGAGGGTCTTAGGATTTTTTGTGATTGAAGCTATTCCATAATGTGGGTTCACTGCAGGACGATTTCACAGGTTGAGGGAGATTTAATAAAACTGGTGCACGTAGAATCTGGTGCAGCTGAGCATGGTGGCCAATCAGCTTCTAACCAGCTTGTTTGATTAAGCTTTAACAATAAAACTTAGAAGCTGACTGGTTTCTGTCCAGAGCTGCACCAGATTCTGAGTGCACAAGTTTTAGTAAATAACCCCTATTGTGTCATGGCAAAACTTTCTGGATCTTCACCCTTACCATATTAGCTGTGATGGGGTTGAATCAGGAAGAGAACACCATAATGTAGTACCTGTATAATAATTTAAGGCCACTCTCCCTCTTTTTATTGGATATATCTTTCTTATTTATATAGCTTTACATACGTATTTAAAAATCTACATTTATTTTTCTTCTTTTTTTACCACTCAGTATTATGAGAATGAAAACTCCTCCTACAAGCTTTAACCAGTGCTCTGCTGGACATTGATAGAAGTAACAAGACTGCTCTGCTGATGAGAAAAGGTATTTAGCAGTTTATATTTACTAAGATAATTGCATTTCTATGTTCTGTGTACTGTAAGAGACCAGATATAGTGAATGCATGGGATTAGTAACACTTTAATCTCCTTTTCTCAAGAGAGGATAAATTCAGCTCCTCTAATCTTTTCTCCTACTGTAGCTGAGCTCCTCCATGCCTTCCTGTTTGGTTACCCTTCTCTACATTTTCTCCAGTTCCCCAGTATACTGTGAACTGGTGCCCAAAACTGAACTGCATTTTCCAGATGAGGTGTTACTAATGATTTGTACAGGGGTAAAATGATCTCTCTCTCTGGAGTCTATACCTCTTTTAATACAAGAGAGGATTTTGCTCGCTTTAGAAATCTCAGCTTGGCATTGCATGCTATTATTAAGCTTATGATCTACCAGAACCCCCAGATCCTTCTCCATCATTGATTCCCCCAGTTGTACTCCCCCTAGTATGTATGATGCATGATGCATGCATTTTCTTAACCTCCAAATACATAACTTTACATTTATTAACATTAAAACCTCATTTGCCATCGTGAACACTTTTACAAATATTGCTCATAATTTGAAGTTTGTGAACTTTGAGGCCCACCCCATTAAAGTTTATGGGGGTGAATCTTGTTATTCAATTGGGAACATTACAGAGCTAATAAACAACTTATTGTAAAAACAGAGAAATCTGGGATTTGCCATGGTGACATATATCGATAGCAGAAATTAATAAATAAATAGGCAGCATCTCTCTCTGCACAGATTTGTCAGTTCTCCCTAACAAGTTCATCACACACTGACATTATGGGTTCTGTGAGCTCGCACTTTTATAGAAAGTGGGCTGTGTTATCTATCCCTTCAAATGACTGATTCCTATGACTCAGCTGACCAGGGGTAAAGGGTATGCACTGTATTATAGACTATTTCTTGTTTCTGGCTGAAAGTGTACAAGTTCAATGTACAAGGTGAATGTTTCAGCCAAAGGTTCATGATTCATGAATTTTGTAAATCCTGAGTATTTGCTGAGAGTGCATAGTAGCAGTGAACCCAAACCTCATCTATAGGCAGCAGACAAATTGCAGTGAGGCCAAGATCCCTCCGAAAACTATTTTGGTAGTGTTTTTTACCCCAAGTATGACGTAGTTTTAATTATACTTACCATATATATATATATATATATATATATATATATATATATATATATATATATATACACAGTATATATAGCGTAATAGTTCTAAGATGATGCTACATTTGCTCAATACAATATACTTACACTCAAGAGCATGGTAGAGTAACTCAAAATCTTCCTTAGTCTTTGGATTCATTCTGCGTTCATAGTCTTTTCTCAGTCTTTCTTCTTTCTCTTCCTTCTTTCTCAATTCCTCCCTTTCTTCCCATTGCAGTCTCAGCAATTTATCCTCTCTAAGCTGCTCTACCACTTTTTTGGCATGAAATCTTCGAAAGTATGTCTGTATTACTATCACCTGAATGACAAAGATTGTCACACATTAGTTGCAAAACGCAGAACTCAACCTTTTTTTTTAATGTCAAGCCTGTTTATTAGTCTGTACATATTGTGCTACATTTACATACAGAAATCCCCCTGCGCTCCACAGAACCTAGTGATTTAGCTGCTATCACCTATTCTCTATACCGCAAGATATGTGAAACAAAATTATATAAGTGGTGAAGCGCTCAACTTAAATAATAGTGACAATTATCTTAATCAATATAAATGAAAACTGGTGCAATATCCCCATATATAAATTATACGTCCCTGGTGGTATAGTGATAAACAAAAAATACAAACAATACCTCTTGAGCTATGCAAATATAAATAAATGAAAAACTAGTGCAATATCCTCATATATGAATTATACATCCCTGGTGGTATAGTGATGAACAACTAATACCTCTTAAACTGTGCAAAAGTGATACTAAATTCAATTAATTAAACCAATTAAATAAGACATTAATTACAATAAATTAAATTGTGATGCCACACTGTGCAAAATCATGAAAAAGTGTTCAAATGATGTCACTCCATGCTGCAATAGTGCTCTTCGTGAAAATCTTGACGTGACTCCCCTCAATAATAGCCAAAATGCCCCCTCACCTTCCACATTCGACCCTTGCGGGTCACAGAGCTTTATATATATATATATATATATATCTCTGCCAGATATTATTCTCCTCCACTGCCTCCACCGACCAAGATCCTCCTCCAGGCAATAAGTTACACTCCAATAACTCCCCTCACAAACCGGACTCAGACACAGGGCGCATATGCAAGAAAAAGCAGACCTCCATAGTGCAACACTGTTTTAATGCACTCAGCATTTAATGCACTCAGGATCCTGAAGAAGCCACGTGATCGTGGCGCAACGCGTCGACGTATTTCCGGTCATAGGGGTGACGTACTTCCGGTTCCGGGTTCGGACGCCATCTTTGTACACCTGTATACACCCATAGCACATGGGAACTGCTTCTCTCTGTTGGAGGATATGTGAGTGCATTTTTTCAATCTATCGCTGAGTGCATTAAAACAGTGTTGCACTATGGAGGTCTGCTTTTTCTTGCATATGCGCCCTGTGTCTGAGTCCGGTTTGTGAGGGGAGTTATTGGAGTGTAACTTATTGCCTGGAGGAGGATCTTGGTTGGTGGAGGCAGTGGAGGAGAATAATATCTGGCAGAGATATATTATATATATATATATATATATATAAAAGCTCTGTGACCCGCAAGGGTCGAATGTGGAAGGTGAGGGGGCATTTTGGCTATTATTGAGGGGAGTCACGTCAAGATTTTCACGAAGAGCACTATTGCAGCATGGAGTGACATCATTTGAACACTTTTTCATGATTTTGCACAGTGTGGCATCACAATTTAATTTATTGTAATTAATGTCTTATTTAATTGGTTTAATTAATTGAATTTAGTATCACTTTGCACAGTTTAAGAGGTATTAGTTGTTCATCACTATACCACCAGGGATGTATAATTCATATATGAGGATATTGCACTAGTTTTTCATTTATTTATATTTGCATAGCTCAAGAGGTATTGTTTGTATTTTTTGTTTATCACTATACCACCAGGGACGTATAATTTATATATGGGGATATTGCACCAGTTTTCATTTATATTGATTAAGATAATTGTCACTATTATTTAAGTTGAGCGCTTCACCACTTATATAATTGTGCTACATTTGCCCTACTTTTACACAGGACCCCTCTTGCCCTTTCCTTTCCAGTGAAAGCCAGGTTTTAGACAGTGGTGTACCTGCTGAGTAAAATAGGGTGGTCATTGGAAGATGATGGCCAAAAATTGAATCACAGCTAGTTTCTAATAGATAGATAGATAGATAGATAGATAGATAGATAGATAGATAGATAGATAGATCATATTTTTTTTTTTCAGGGGTCATTTGGCAAAGTCATTAGTGAACAGAAAATTTCTTTGCTTTCCCTACCTGTGTGTGCGAGGTTGTGATCTGTAGTCTTTTAAACAAGAAAAACTTGTGGGCTACAATAAGTCACACAAGACTTTGAAAACATTCCACAATTTAATGGGAACCGCAAGCATGTGACATTGCAAAGTAACAGTAGAGCTCTTGTCTTTCCAATAAAATGTGTGTATCTTTCTAATTAGGTCTATTACTGGGATTGTAAGAGCTAAATTGTTACCTAATTTGCATGAAAGGTACACTAAACTACTGCCGTATAAAATTCGCTTTACAAAATATTTTTGATACCCAGTAGTAATGTGGCCCGGACTGCTAATACATTAGGGGGTTGATTTACTAAAACTGGAGAGTACAAAATCTGGTGCAGCTGTGCATGGTAGCCAATCAGCTTTTAACTTCAGCTTGTTCAGTTAAGCTTTGACAAAAAAATGGAAGTTGATTGGTTTCTATGCAGAGCTGCACCAGATTTTGCACTCTCCAGTTTTACTAAATCAACCTAGGTATTTTATTGCTCGGGACTCTCTGGGGTAAACAAATGGACTAAAGGTCAATGAAAATGGATGACCTTCAAATAGCATAGCATATATTGCAGTTATTCTTTATGTCACAGGTATAGCACACAAACACACACATTCAAGCACTTACTGCTTTCAGTCTTCTGGAATGATACTCATCTGCTGGAACATATTTTGAGGGCTGTAAGAGTTTGTCAGTTATGTTTGATACATAGTAACCTATTTTTGTCATTTGTGTAGACATCGTATTCCTTGACTGCTGAGTCTTGTTCTTTTGAAACACAGTCTGTAGAGAAAATAAAACTATTAGCAAAACTGAGCACATAAATTGTTGAATCTACAAGTAGCTTGAAAAATGTTGAACCAGCGAAAACTGTTTAATTGTTTAGTGGTCCACAATGCTCTCAAGAGAAGACTACAATGGTTTTGGATTAATTTTACTATTTTCTTGTGATGTTTTATATCTATATTTGTACTATTTAAATAACATCTTTGTTTAACAGATACATATTTACACAATTCAAGGCAAAATTGTTACTTTCCCATGCAGTGGGGCTGTGCCTGCACTACATGGGTTAAATGCTCGTTTTTGTCTAGGGGTTCGGACAGCAAAGATATACTTGCCTAATCCGTCAATCCTCCGAGCACCTGTGAATGGGCTGTTCCTGATGTCATCACACCCATAGACTGGTTATGGACGTAAAGACAGCATGAACAGTCCACCGCTAAACATGGGGGAGCACGGTTTTCCTAAGGATTGGACAACAGGATAAGTATAGCTTTTCCCTAAACCCCTGAACAAAATGAGTATCCATGCAGTGCAGGCACAGCCCCACTGCATAGGATAATAAAAGTTGCGACTGGAGTTCTGCTTCAATAATATTATGACTGCACATCAAAAGTTATTTGTCTTTATTTTCCCTCACTATGACTGATACATGGTACAAAATCCTCTGTACATAGCGGGAGTGAGAGGGAGTGAGTCACTGCTTTGATTCATTCAGTTGTGAACTGTAGATTGAGCTATTGAACTCTGTAAGTAAACTAACTGCAAAGACGTTAAAGTGGAAAGTCACCCAAAAGGGGAAGTTCCACTCTTCCTCCTTCCCCCCCCCCTCTTTCACACTTGGCACATACTTTGCAATGGGGGGGGGATTGGGTACCTGGTTTTAACAGGCACCTGCCACCACTTCTGATGGGATCGCCTATACAACCCGAGCTGAAGTTCTCCTCTCCCCTCCCTGCCCGCAGCCTTCGGGGACACATTACAGGTCCCAAAAAACTGTGGAACTGTGGAACCATTCAGATAGCACAGCACAGCTCACACATAGCCTGTAATGTAAATTGCACTGAGTCAAAAAGCGCCACTTTGAGACATTTTTCGCTTTATTTTTACCCATTCCTACTAACAAATTTGTTCACAAAACAAAAGCAGCAGGTTCTCCTCTGAAAGATGAATGGAGTTTCTGACAAAATAATACAAAACAAAAGTGCCCCCCCCCCCCCCCCCCCCCCAGCCTACCAGGCTCTTCGGATCTAGTATGGATTATAAGGGGAACCCCATGCCAATATTTTTTTTTTTAATGGCATTGCCCCTACCCCCAAAATCCAAAGCAGACCCCTATCTGAGCATGCAGCCCCACTGGCCAGGAAACCGGTTGGACGGGGGGAGCACCCCCTCCTGAACCATACCATGTCAGGTGCTTTGGGGTAGGGGGGGACTTTTTTTTGAAATGAGTAGGGGTATTATGTACCCTATACTTATTCACATGGGGGAAGGGCCAGATTCCGGTAAGTCACCACTGGTACCCCCACAACCACTGGGTTGTGGGGGAGAGGACCTTGTCCTCATCAACATTGGACAAGGTGATTTGGGGGTCCCCCCTACCCCAAAGCACCCCCCATGTTAAGGGCATATAGCCTGGTATGGGGGAGCGCTCACTCCCCCCCCCCCCCTTTCCTTGCTTTTCTGGGCTGTATGCTCGGATAAGGGTCTGGTATGGATTTTGGGGGGAACCCCACGCCATTTTAAAAAGAATAAAATGGCTCGCACAGTTTTTTTTCTATTTTATGGACATAGCCATTTCGTATTGAAATTGCATTGAAGTCGCACTTAAATTGGACTAAATCACACCACTTTAAAGTCACACCTGGTGTGAACCAGGGCTTAGTCAGCGCATTATTTCTTTAAATTGCAGTGTAATTTAATAAGAAGGTACAACATACTTTTCCTGTGGAGTTCTTTTCTGAGTACCAAACTAAAAATGCTTAGGGAATTCTGACTATCTTGGGATTTCACAGACTTGTAAACGCTGGACCTTTAAAAAAAGTAATCAAACAAACTTTCATGCTTGTAATACTTCCAAGGCTAATTATGCAGTGACCAAAAGATAGGCATTTTGGGATGTGCATATATGCCATATAATTTATATGAATTTATATAACCCCACCCCAGGCAGAAGAAAACAAGCTTACATAAACCTTAGCCATATACCTGGGTGTCTCTACAGAATACTTCAACTCCTTTGTCTGGTCTTTTTTTTGGCACAGTTTGTGTTCCAGCATGGTGGTACACCATTCCTGTTACCTTGTGTCGATATCCACCCAGATACGGTTTGCGGTAGTTTAATCTTTCAATTTCCACTGCTATGTCCTGATATATATCTTCTCCTAATCGAAAGCATAAGTGTTAAATAAAAAAAACATACAATTTTTTTAATATATTTATTAATGGCCGGCATGGTGTCATTATACCAGGTCTGCCTTTTTCTTTCTGCCTACTATAAAGGCATAAAATATGTGACATAAAAAATTACAGTGTAAAAAAAGAAAATTGTATTGGTTGTGGAATTTTAGGTACCAGCTTTTATTAGGGTTTTATATACTGTATTAATATGCTATTATTTTAAATGTTTCATTTAAAATTCAGATTTTGTGTTACTATTGCCCTCGTACTCTTGTCAATCAAACCTCAGTTTTCTTACATGAGTTAGCCTGGGACTAAAGTGAAAACAAATTAAGTCATTGGTTCAGTATAGCAGCTAGATAACTGTTTTTTTTTTTTCAAAACTTCTTTCTTGTATGTTTTCCTAATTTAAGTTAAGTGAAGAGTTTGCAAAAGGTTGTCCTAAACTTTTAACTGTAACTTCCCATAGCATCAGACGAATGGGTAAATGCTTCAATGGGTCTATTTAATAGTGCACTGGGGCAGGGGTAAGTTACAAATCACTGAAGACCACCTTGTTGGGATACTGATAATGCAGAAAACTGGGGTTGGTGTTTTAGAGAAGACTCAGGTATTTTGGACACCCAGTTATTTCACACACCCCTTTAGGAAGCAAACTCTCTGTATTGAAGGAATAGAAGTTGAAATCAGCACAGTGGGCAGCCTACACACTTGATGTACTGAGATGATCTGCTATCAAGGGATGAAAGCATCACTTTGTACATTAAAACACTTTAATACAAGCAAAGCAGGTTCATCAGAAGTATTTTAAATGCAGACAAACCTGTTTGTACCCTGACAGTTATCACATCTGGCATGCTATATTCATGTTGAAATTTCATAGCTTTGACAGGATAGTTTTCAGGATCCATTGACTGCATTTCCAGCTGGATAGTTCCATTAGGTGTGATGCCAAGATCTACTAAAGTCTCATGGTCCTCTACTGCCTGGCCTATAGTAAGAAACAAGAAAAATATAAAACAAAGTATGCTCATAGTGCAATGATACAGTATGTAGGCAACTTACAACAAAGGCTAAATTATTACAGTGCAACACAGAAATCTAATAACATATAAACACTCTTGGGTGGAATTGATAAAGAAGTTGAGAATTTGCACACAATAAATTGTGTAGACAATCATTTCAATTACCCAATCATGTGCAGATGAAATAAATAAACATATATTTGCTTTACAAATGGTTGGATAATTGAAGTGAAAATTCCTACAATTTAGTGTGTAAGGTTTCTCAACTAATTTAGTAAATTAGCCTCTGTGGGTCTAAATACTCCCCTAGTTTTAAAAAAGAAGCAGAAATCTATGAAAAAAAGGACTGGTTTTATATCCCATTAAAAGCTTTTTTTTTTTACTTCTCTAAGATAAGTGATTATCCACTTCCAGACCAGACACTTTTACCCCCTTCCTGACCAGGGCAATTTTCAGCTTTAAGCACTATCAAACTTTGAATGACAATTGCGCGGTCATGCAACACTGTACCCAAATTAATTTTTTACCATTGAGACAGATAAAGCTTTATTTTGGTGGTATTTATTCACCGCTAGGATTTTTATTTTTTTTGCTATGTAAATGAAATGTCCAAAAATGTTGAAAAAAAGTGTTTTTTTTTTATAAAATTTTGCAAATAAATAATATTTCATCATAAATCTTGGCCAAAATCTATTCCGTTATCTTTTTAGTAAAAAAAAAAATCCAAATTAGTTTATAACCAAAAATTATAATTTTTAAACATTTATTTTTACATTTTTATTTTATTTTTTTATATTATTATTTTTTTTATTTATTTTTTTTACATACTGTCACCCTAGCAGTACAGTGTCACCATGGTACCACTGTACACTGATTGCTTTTACACCCATATAGGATGTAAAATCAATCATTTCTCTTTCTCTCTGTCTGCATTCTTGCAGTCATTGAGAAGTATTTGAGTGAGCTGTGATTGGTCACAGCTTGTCACATGGTACAAGGCTGTTGTGAATAACCTTGTACCATGTGACCTCTGTGATCATTCACAGATTTCACACGTAGTAAGCAATGATGTCACAAGGGACATCTTGCTTACTACTTTGCATGTGATCACTGATTGGCCAATCAGTGACCACATGATCGGGACCTCGTACAGAGGCCCAGAGGACACAGCGGGCACCGGATCGCGGTGCTGCGCGCTCCCAGGGAGCGCGCACAAGCAGGGGGCGGGGAGGCCGTTTATGAACAGCCATCTGACCCTGCACTGCCACCGTCCGGCCGTTTATATACAACGACCGGACGGGAAGTGGTTATTTTTCCTTAATACATGTGGCATATTGTATATATACAGTGGGTACACAAGCTGTGGGATGCAGGATTGCTATTCATGTATTAACTTTTGAAAATGTTTGTAAGAATCCTACTACTGTATCTAGGAAGCTGTAATAGCCCTGTGAAGGATAATCTATTACAGACTAGGAACAATAGTCCTTCATTACTGCAAATAGAATTCCTCCTACGTCTCTCAGCACCATGACAATGCAGAAGATCCCAGTGTGAACCAGAGGCTCCGACTGCGCCTGACCAGTCACAGGAAACTATGAGTGTAATACCTGTTCTTTAACATACACTGCCACCTGTCTGGTGAGAAAAAATTATTAATAGGACAGAGAAAGAAAACAAATGTTATTTGTCCCTTGTGTCATGCTTTTTTATAAATGTTAGTAACCTTACATTTCCATGGCATCTAGAAATAAATAGTTGCGAATTTTTAAAGCTGTATTTGTTTAATTAAAGGTACATGACAACTAATGTACACACTGTTTACTTGCTGTAGAGTTCTTGTAAGCTAGATTCCTATCACTGTCTTGTGTTTTTGCAGGTAGATCATTTAGTCTGGGAAAACATCAGATACATTTCCAATTTAGTTTCCATTAAAGCCCACTCTGGGATTGTATTTTCCCCTCACCCACCCCTATAGCTGATCGCTGGAAAATAAAAACAATTCTAAAAATCTAAATGCCCTTGTTTACTTACCTAAACCAGCGATTACATGATGCTGCAGCTGTGAGCCTTTTCCTCTTCAATTCGCTTGCTGTAATTGTCCTTCTTTGGATGTTCAAGTCAGTGCCTGAATGACATAGACTCTGCCTATTGAATGTCCAGCGATGGGGTTCTCTCAGGATCCAGAAGAGGACAACTTCATCACATGGGACCGGTGATCTCAGGAAGAACATCACACTGCTAGATCAGTGGTCCCCCTGCCTGAAACCGGTAGCGGGACCTGAGGGGGTACTTAGATGAATATATCTGGCTTCATAAGGTAAGGGGAAAAACACGTGTAGGCAAATGCAGTCTGTTTTCTCCACTGTAGGTGGCACTTGACCCGACTGGTACCACAGCCTGGAGAGGAGGTCCAAGGGAAACATGAATTCTCTGTGGTTTCCTGGGTCAATGGGGCAGTGTTCTGGTTGTCTGTGACCCTTAGTGGCCTTCTTGGGTCAGCAGGATCTATTTAGGGCCCTGCCCCCATGTTCTGCTGCACTTTGTTGCAAATGACTAGTGTAGGGAGAGCTACCTTACTTGTTATGGACTGTAATCCGTGTTAGGGAAAGATTCCTGACAAGGAGAGAAAGACTAGGGGCTTGTTTCCAGGAAAAAGTCTGTGCACAATAAAAACATAGACATCCATCCAGGGCAGCCCTACACATATACGCTCCAGGCTGGGACTGCTGCTGTGCAAGAGGTAGAGAGCAGCAGCACGACTGAAGAGCTTCCCTAACATAGAGCCTGCAGGGGGAGAAAGCCAGCCGTGTGCCCACCTGCCCTGACCTTTGGGGGAAGCCAGCCCAGACTGCACCTGCACTGCTGGATGTAAGTGACATACAGATGTACTCCTGTTTACATAGCCTGCCCAAGGATGATGGACATACTTTGTGAAAACTGACAGATGGATCGAGACTAAACACATGTGTGACCGGGCCCTTAAAATCCTACAAACCCAGATATAGACCAGTTTCTTTTTTATTTCATGCACATGCCATTTTATGCCTGACAACGCATGCATTGATGGTCAATACGGAGTGGGCGAACGCCATTTGAACCGCATTTGGAGGCTATGGAGGAGGTTGGAGCAGTTGCTTAATGATAATTTTTGAGCTGATTTTGACCATTCTATAACTTGATGGTCAAATACATCTGGTAACCCTTCTTTGAGCATGGAATGGACACGTGTTTTCACATGGATAACGTTTGATCGTCTAGCAATTGAAGATTCACGTTTAAACCTTTTTGATGTTTTTTTTTTATTCTTTTTGGAATTGGGACTCATTATTTCACTTTTATATTATTTTTATATTGTATTAGAATTAATGTTATATCCAGCTTCACAAATGTTCAGTTAGGTTATAGTCTCTTTACACCTTTAGCGCTACACTTTAATTTGTATATTTTTTTGCATTGCATTTTTCAATAGAAATAAGGAACAACAAAACAAACAAATAAAGAAATAAAATGAAAAGAAAGATACAATTATCCCATATTCAAAAACTTCAAATATCAAAGGCATGTAGCTGTGCCATGGCATTGCAACAGGAGTTATAACCAGAAAAGTGAAACACATTGCTTGGTATGTCAAAGAATTCATGTCATTAAGGTATACATTTTGTGCATATGGTATAACAGATTAATTGTAGAGTTCAGATTGAAATTGTACATAGAAATACAGTAGTTGCTTGCTCAATTGACATCCTTCTGAACATGCCAGTTTTAAACAAAGGTGAAACCCCCAATGCAGTAAACTGGATTTCGTAAGGATGTTGCATTCCATGCAACAGAGTGAATGTAATCTCTCCTCATGTTCTGTGTGGCCTACTGGGAGAAGCAATGAAACAATTGCAGGATATCATAATTTTTTGCTGCAAGGATGAAGAAGTATTTTCTTGTATGAATTTTGGAGTTTGAGTCTCCCGTCACAAAATGTAGACACTGAAACTTAAATCCATACATATATTTTTATATACCTTCCACCATTACCTATATGACTGCTTCTTATATTTTTGTATTAGACACAAGGTAACTAATAGGATCTCCCACAGACTTAATATGATTAAATTGCAAAACAGTCTGTGCGGCAGTCTCTTATTGATTTGAAATGAAACGTGAGCCTTCCTTTAAGGGTTATGAGCCTACAAAAACCTATTTAGAATGCCTGTTTTACATACCTTCAAACATAATCCGTATGACTGTTTCTGGTATTTTCATCTGAGATGCAAAGTCATTTTTAAGGTTTCCCACAGACTTTCCAATGGAAAATGCAATAGTAATGACTTGACCAACAGGAACTAACATTACTTTAACTAAAAATAATGAAAAGAAACAAAATTATATGTCAGAAGCATTTTCTGTTCAATTACCAATGTACCTTTCTGTTAAATTGTATACTTTGTAAATGTACTTTGCTGATTTTTAAAGCTTTAGTAAATCAAATGCTGAGAAGCAACATAGGTAATCATTGGCCTTATTCAGAAAAAAACTGTTACTCCATAGAGAGCAATTCTAGGCATAAAGTAAAATCAATCAGTGTGCTACTAATGCTATCAAGTAAACACAATGAACTCTCTGGTTTTAGCACAGTCAAAGTGGGGAATTTATTAAAATTGGAGCAGCCAAAATCTGGAGCAGCTGTACATGGCAGCCAATCAGCTTCTCTTTTAAGCTTGTTGAGATAAGCTTTAGAAATGAAAGATAGAAACGGATTGGTTGCCATGCACAGTTGTTCCAGATTCTGGCTGCTCTCATTTTGATAAATCCCCCACTTTGACTGTGCTAAAACCATAGAGTTCACTGAATTTACAAGTGGCATAAATCCTAAATTATCATTCCCATCCAGATATGTGTGTATACCGGTAACTCTCTTATCTGAGTCCATGTCAGTCCAAACTCTGAACTCCTTTTTATTTGCAGAGTCCTTTCAGATGAGCATTCTGATCAGATATGCCTGTTAGTTTTTTTCAGGTGGATCAGATTGGGCGCTCATTGTCAGTCTATGGGCATGTAAATGTAAATAAGCATTTGTTCATTTGATTACATCCATCTAGGTGAAAAAAAAGGAAAAGGTTTGCATTCTTCTCCAGTCTTTTACAAACCTAAAAGTGATGAATCGGTGGCAAAGGACGTATATGTATGTCCGTTCACATCGACCTGCCCATTGACCTAACATCTGTTTGCTTTCAGTCACAAGCTATAGGAAAAAGCTGAACAAACTTGGATGTCAACAAAAGTGCCATCTGTTCTATTCAGCTCTAATTCACTAGGTCTCAACAGAGAACGGACATCTGAAAGTAATTGTCAAAGAAGTTACAAAAGGTAGTAAAGCTGCATATCATACAGCTCTTTTCCAATTCTTTATAATATACAAATTAATAGTAAACAAATAACTGAAGCGATGCACTGAACCAAGAGGAAATTGAAGAAGAAATTAAATGAGAAAAACAGAAGACAATTCAAGGAGAAGAATGGCCAAACCTTGTTTAGCTATACTTCTTTAATAGGTCACAGGAGTGACCCATTTTCAGCTGACAGCAGGTTAAAGCCCACTGTCGGCACCAAGCCCATCCAGGCTCTGGAGAGATTCCAACTTTAAAGTTGGGATCCACCTAGATGTCTGGACCAGCAGTTGGTTCAGCCTCTCAGAGAGACACTGAGAGCCTAAGCCAACCACTCCTGCCCCTCCACCGCCCATCACTCCAGTGAGCACTGGAGGTGCAGAGCAGAGAGTTTGTAACTGACAGTCACTACTCTCTGCTCAGTGAAGTCCAATAACCAAGCGATCAGCAGTCTTTGATCGTTCAGTTCTCGGTCTTAGAGGCGGTGGGGGACAGCTGCAGCTGGGATCGGTGCTGCAACCATCTAGGTGAGTATGATTGTTTGTTTTTCTTTGATTCACAAAGTAATGCAGCTGAACTCCATTGCAATAAACATACCTGTTGCTGTTGGACTGGTTATATCTGAAGATATTTTCTTTTCAAATATATCTTTTTCTGTAGATGGCTCCTCCTCTTCCCTCTTTTGCAACTGTAATCTCTTCTGCCTTTGTATCTTTTATGATTTGTATATGGTCTTCATTCATTGTCTCTGGCACTTGCTCTGTTTCTGGTATATCAGCAATGAGCTCTGAAGCAGTCTGATCCCCAATATATTGCTGCTTTGTTAGAGCTGGATCTATACCATCATCTGGTGGTGTAAGTTCAGACTCTTGTTTATGTTGCTTTTCAGCTGACACATCTGAATCAGGTGGTTCATCACCTGTGCTGACCATGTCTTGACGGGTAAGTAAATCCTCTTGCATATTTTGACTTTCGTCATTGTCAGTGTGCAGTTGCTCGTCCATGCTTTGTACCCCTTCACTCTGAACACTGAAGTACTGGACTTGTTCCTGAAAGGCTGCCTCATCTCTTACAGTTGGTACAGAGGAAATCATGTCTTCACCAAGATCATGAATTGCAGTATCTTGGTTCTCATCATCAGTTTGCAGACCTACATCTGTGCTTTCAGATGGCTGAACTGAATGTTCCATCTTAGGTTATTAGGTTTTCTTTCAATTTATGAGATGTTTCCAAAGTCTATAATAGAGAAAATTATAGAAAACATTATGAAAGATTTCTAAAATATCATCACATTCACCCAAGAGTGTAAAGTAACCTGTGGTCAAAACAACACTTATCTATTGTATTTGGCACCTACTGCATATACTTACTGATTTTTGTTCAGCAAACCAGACTCCAGAAAGGAAGAGTACTCTGAAAACGGGGATAATTCTCCATGGTTGCTGTCTCTTCCTGTCTTTCCTGTCTTGATATTGGTTGGCAAGGCCACCCATACTAGTGGTGGGTTTAGGTGAAGGACAGGAAAGTAAAAAAAAAGTAGGTTTGGAGCTGGTCATTGCTCCCCTTCAGAAAGCCCCATTTTCTAAGGTTTGGAGGTGCTCTGCTTGTATTGAGTATGATGGCGCTTTGAGGTACCAACAACAGTATGCAGAATTGTTTACTTTAAAGGCTAACTGTAAAAGGTACATTTCTAAAAATAAAAAATAATATATTAACTATGATAAATTACTTTATCTGTCTGCATTATCTGTCTTGCGATCAGTACCACAGACCAATCAGACTGCAGCAACAGAACACTGCTATCAGCAATTGGGGTTCTTCAGCCATCCCTTCAACCCCCCTCCTCCCAAAAAAACAGCCATGCCATGCTTCTGCAGCTGCGCCATGGACTGGTAGCTAAGAAAAGATACAGGTGAAACTCGAAAAATTAGAATATTGTGCAAAAGTTCATTTATTTCAGTAATGCAACTTAAAAGGTGAAACTAATATATGAGATAGACTCATTACATGCAAAGCAAGATAGTTCAAGCCGTGATTTGTCATAATTGTGATGATTATGGCTTACAGCTCATGAAAACCCCAAATCCACAATCTCAGAAAATGAGAATATTACATGCAATCAATAAAACAAGGATTGTACATAGAACAATATCGGACCTCTAAAAAGTATAAGCATGCATATGTACTCAGTACTTGGTTTGGGCCCCTTTTGCAGAAATTACTGCCTCAGTGCGGCGTGGCATGAAAGCTATCAGCCTGTGGCACTGCTGAGATGTTATGGAAGACCAGGATGCTTCAATAGCAGCCTTCAGCTCTTCTGCATTGTTCGGTCTCATGTCTCTCATCTTTCTCTTGGCAATGCCCCATAGATTCTCTATGGGGTTCAGGTCAGGCGAGTTTGCTAGCCAATCAAGTACAGTAATCCCACGGTCATTGAACCAGGTTTTGGTGCTTTTGGCAGTGTGGACAGGTGCCAAGTCCTGCTGGAAAATGAAGTCAGCATCCCCATAAAGCTCATCTGCGGAAGGAAGCATGAAGTGCTCCAAAATCTCCTGGTAGACGGCTGCGTTGACCCTGGACTTAATGAAGCACAGTGGACCAACACCAGACATGGCTCCCCAAATCAACACAGACTGTGGAAACTTCACACCGAACTTCAAGCATCTTGCAGTGTCTGCCTCTCTCCATTCTTCCTCCATACTCTGGATCCTTGGTTTCCAAATGAGATGCAAAAGTTGCTCTCATCAGAAAAGAGGACTTTGGACCACTGAGCAACAGACCAGGTCTGTTTTTCTTTAGCCCAGGTAAGACGCTTCTGACTTTGTTTGTTGTTCAGGAGCGGCTTGACAAGAGGAATATGCCATTTGAAGCCCATGTCCAGGATCCGTCTGTATGTGGTGGCTCTTGATGCACTGACTCTAGCCTCAGTCCACTCCTTGTGAAAGTCCCCAACACTTTTGAATGGCCTTTTCCTGACAATCCTCTCCAGGCTGTGGTCATCGCTGCTGCTTGTGCACCATTTTCTTCCACACTTTTCTCTTCCACATAACTTTCTATTAATGTGCTTTGATACAGCACTTTGGGAACATCCAACTTCTTTTGCAATTACCTTTTGAGGCTTTCCCTCCTTATGGAGGGTGTCAATGATGGTTTTCTGCACAACTGTCAGGTCAGCAGTCTTTCCCCATGATTGTGATTCCTACTGAACCAGACTGAGAGACCATTTAAAGGCTCAGGAACCCTTTGCAGGTGTTATGGCTTAATTAACTGATTAGAGTGGGACACTTTGAGCCTAGAATATTGCACCTTTTCACAATATTCTAATTTTCTGAGATTGTGGATTTGGGGTTTTCATGAGCTGTAAGCCATAATCATCACAATTATGACAAATCACGGCTTGAACTATCTTGCTTTGCATGTAATGAGTCTATCTCATATATTAATTTCCCCTTTTAAGTTGCATTACTGAAATAAATGAACTTTTGCATGATATTCTAATTTTTCGAGTTTCACCTGTACATACTGTACAAGGTCAAGTAGCTATCTTTTTAGATAATAGATCTAATTCTGCCAAAACCCTTCTTTAAAGCTAAGGTCACCTTTAAGAAAAATAGGGAAAAAAAGTGTGCATTTATTATTTTTTCTTACAGGAGTCTGCAAACCATTGTACCCAAGATCAATGGATTGCTGGAGCAATGTCAGGTTCCTGCAGACTCTCCCTCCAACTTTCTGACCATGCCTCCATACAGGCTTATAGTTAGAAAACTGGAGGAAGTGTGAATGGACTACAATATCATCACACTTGTAATCCATTGATAACTACAAGCCAGCAGACGGGATTTGTAGTTTATTCATTTACAGATCTCTGTTAATGAATGACACAGATGTGCGGGTGGAGTCCCGAACAGCCGCGCAGATTTTAAATGTGACAGCAGCACAGGGGGTGAAGGTGAATGTGCTGCAATGTTACAAGTTATACCCTAAATATGGTTGTAAAATGTTCTAAAGATGAACTTATCTTTTAAAGCTATGAAAACAAAGTAGAGCTAATTATATGGGATTTGATTTACTTTTACAGTGGCAGACAACAGGGTGAGAGAAAGCAGAGGTACTGAGCTCTGTGGAATTTTACACTGGCTGATCACAGAGTGAAGAAGGCTGCATCAAGGCATTAAACTGCAACAAAAATCTACACCTAGTCAAGATAACTAAGTCTAAGACACAGGCATCAGGATTTATATAACCATGTATTCTGCCAATGTGTAACTAGACAAGGCATTGTATTAATCAAATTGATCAATTTGAAAAAATTATTTGCTAATAAAACTGGAAAAGAACAACCCTAATTTATTTAATTCAGTCTTACAGTAACAATTTGAGAGCCCTGATTAATTAACACTTTGTGCTGTATCTGTTATCAGTGATTCATAAGATCAATTATTCATAAAAAAAATTTAACACTTCTCACAGATGAGTCAGAAAGTAGCATTTATATATTTAACTTCAGTACAGATGAAAGTATTTAGTATTTTAAAGAAGAAATCAGTGCCCTGACATAACATAATACAACAAGTGCTTTGACCTGCATAAGTAAATACTATAAATCACACAACTGCTATAAAATTCTCAGAAGCCTTGGGCCCTCCATGGTATCAGGAAGGGGCAAAGCTAGATATAAAGTGACCACCACAGCAGCTTAAAGGAGAAGTACAGGCAAAGCTCTTTTGGCTGTACTTCTGTAAATCACAGGAGTGCAGTTCGTTCTGCCACTCCTGTGATCCATTTTCAGCTGACAGCAGGACGAAGTCCGCTGTCAGCTGACATCACTCAGCTGGTCCAGGCTGAGGAAAGATCCCGACTTCAAAGTCAGGATCTACCCCAGCGAACCACTGAGAGCCTGAGCCAGCCATTCCCTCCTCCTCCATAGCCCAGCACTCCAGTGAGTGCAGGGGAGCAGAGCAGACAGTGATGACTGCTCACAGCAGCGATGAGAACTCAGTGATCAGCGGTTATGTGATCGATGAGTTCTCACACTTAGAGCCTGTGGGGGACAGATGCAGCATTGGACAAACGCTGCACCCACCTAGGTAAGTATGATTTGGGGAAAAAAACAAAACCTACACTTCTCTTTTAAGGCCTCATGCACATTGAAAATTTTTAACTCCTCTAGAAACCAGCAGAGCTTTGGCCAAAAAAAAAACGCTTGATGCTTGTACAAGTCTGTATCGTGTTTACACGCATTTACCCGCATCAAGCATTTGGGCATTAATTAATTTAATTGGCCAGAATAAATAATATATTAAATAAATTAATGCTCAAGCGCTAAATGCGCCTAACATTAGCACGTGTTTAGATGTTTTTAGACACATCAAGTGTTTTTTTCAGCCAAAACACTGTTGTTCCAGGAGGTTTTTTTTTCTGACACTAAATTCTCCTACCACAAAAATGCTGCTAAAATCCTATGTGTGCATGATCACATTTAGAGGCAGTAAAAAAAAAAAAGCCTGAATACCCCTAGGAACAGCTGTAAAAGTCCAGTGTGCATGAGGCCTAATAATGCTAACATCAATAAACGTCACCTAGTAGTGTATGCGTATGGCCATCCAAAATGCCCATGTATGTAGGTACTGAACTATTGAACCATTCCTTCTATTGTCCTAACACGAGCACGGCTTGGATAATGCACATATGGATTTGACAGATTAAGACATATGCATCCAGCTAAATCTGTTAAAAATTAGGCAGCAAAAAGTTAAATATTTTCACAGCCATTGGATTCAATTTGCCCACTAAGGCCATTTCAGCAAAATCAGAATATAGACTCATGTTTCTGGGCATCAAAAGACACTCTTGGCTAACCATTTTCATGAAGAATCAACCATGTATTACATTAGAGCACACTGCACAAATCTTATATAACCCATCTGTAGGGGTGGGTGCTTGGCTGAACAGTTGAAAAAAAGGCATTCCAACTGAACTTCCAAGATGGCTGTTTACTGAAATCCAACATCAGTAGAAACTGATGTAGGTGATCAAACGGAACTAAACCCACCAAGACAACTGTTTCACAAAATTACAAAGTTACATTACAGGCATGCTGTCACAGTTGCTTGTACTCTTGACTGACTTGCCAAGACGTCAAATGGCTGGTGTCATAACTGATCATTTGTGCAGCACCATAACAACTGCA